GAATCCAAAATGATAATAAATTTGAAAAAAGCTTAATATGAAAGCGTTTTCGACTAAATAATTGCAATTTTAGTTGCTTTACTATTAAACTAACTAGTTATCAAGCAATTTGCATAATCAGCTATTCAATCAACTATTCCCAATCAACTAGTTGACCAAATTTATTAATTCAATCATCTATCAACAATCACCTAATTAAATCAGTTATTAAAAAAAATGTTACTATTGCTTAATATATATATTCGATACTTTGAACTTTCTGCTGGTTTTTTAGTTGAAATTAATTAATCATGAAATATGGAAAATAAAAACAAAAGACATTGTTGACATATGACACAGAATAATTGAGTGTAGGCCATAGTTGATAATAATAAATGTCAATGAGGATCAACATAGGTATAATTAGTAATCAAGTGTTGAGGAGTGAATTTTATGTTTGCTTTTTCTCCCCTAACATTTTGTACTGTTATTATGACAGATAATTGATTCCACATGTTGGACATTTATCTAATACTAGTACACTAAGTAACTAATTTTAAAAGTATCATGAAAACTTTTTTTATTACAATTATGATGGAATTAGTGAATTTTACATTTCTCATAAATATAAATTATTTTTATCAACACAAAAACTAACCCCACACATGTTGAAGAAGAACAGTTATTTCCAGGGAGGGAGAAAATGCTTTTGGCTAAATTACAAGTTGACTTTCAGAATTAAATTTGTACTATCATTTTCTGAGTTTTCAACATGACAAGTGAAAAATGTACAACTACATTGCAGTGATTCTAGCTGAGTTTGCATTGTCCAATAAATTCTGGCTCACATGAGGGCAAAGTCTGTTTTTGTCACACCTACTGGATGCTTTTTGTGTGTTCTTTAACTTGTACCCCTTTTACAATACTCTAAGAGGCCTAATATTCATACAAGAAAATGATTGTAAAATTAATGGAAAGTAGCCATAACTTATCTAGAAATTAGGTGTAGTATGAACGAGTTGATCTGAGATCGAGCTCTGACTCAAGTTTTTATATTATCGAGTCAAGTCAAACTCGACTCGTCAACTAAATGAGTCGATAAATAAGCAACGAACTCGAGCTCGAACCATTGATTAACATTAATGGGTTGAGCTTGAATCGATTTATCAACTAGACGAGCTCGAACCAAATTGAACTCATTAGTGTCTCGATCCTTTAGTTTAACAACTCTACCTAGAGCCCGTTTGTTTTCTTAGACAAGATAGGATTAGGGCATTAATCATGGCCCTATCTGACGTTTTTAACCTGGACTCCGGCCCTCAAGATTAGATTCGGCCCGGAATTAATAGTCATGAATAGTGATTTAGTGGTGCATATTCAAGACTAAAGAATCTCGAGGTGACCCCAAGATTACTTGCATCTCTACAGTAAAAATACCTAAAAATGTCAAAAAAATCCCTCAAAATTTCCAAATCATAACCACCATAAATAATTTCCATCTCAATTATTTTCAAGCAACCCTGACTGGAAGAACTCTCACCCGAAGCTGGAGGTGAGGAAATCAAGTTACCGACACGGCGGCGCCCCCAACTCGTGGCGGATGGTTGAAACCCCAGCCAGCAGAAACCCTAGCCTTCCTCCGAGTAAATCAGCCAACAATTTATCGGGTCGGAAGAAGATCCGCCCTTCGCCGTCCGACATCTACGTTGGAGCCACGTTCGCCATGTTGTCTCTCAGATCCGTCCCCCTACCTTCGTTTTTCTTTATTTTGTTCTTCTCCTCTTTAGTATAAGAACAATCACCATTAAAGGGCTCCCTTGCTGAAATTTCCTACTATCCAAGGCTGCCTTATTCTTTTTTTTTTTTTTTTTTTTTGATCGTTAAATAAATTTATATTAAATAAGTTAATCGTTATCTTATTTCTAGTATCAAACAAACCCTAGAGATAAGGTGAGTATTAATGTTATTTGTTATTATTATCATGAAACCGGCCACACTTTGACCACCCTTTGACCCGTCGTTATTAATAATTACTGTACTGCTCATTGAGCTGGCCGGGCGACCCACCATCACATAAAATCCAAATTCCATAGCCTCTCTTTATTCTATTTATATATTCTCTAAAATTGTTAGAATATCATTTGTGAGTTGTCTCACATTGATTTTATAAGAAAAATAAGTCTAGTATTTAGCCTAGTGGACTACTCCTCTCATCACCAATTAGTTTTATGGTGAAATATCATCAAGATGCACCTAGGTTCACCCGCTTATGATGCGCTTCATCTGATGGGACCGCACATTCTTCCCTCGGTTATAATAAAAACATTACACATGTATTCTTGTACCTATCATTCGTTTATTTGTTTCTCTTTGAGAATAAGACTTCATTGCCTACCAAAATTATCAACCCATTGATATATGATATCACCTATATATTATTTCAAAACGTGCTGAGCTTAAGTGGTCATTGATATATGATATCCGCTATATATTATTTCAAAACGTGCTGAGCCTAAGTGGCAGACTCGCATGCTTCCGGATCCTATGTGGCAAAATTACATGCTTCATTATTTGACTTGAGTAGATTTTAATTTACTTCCAAGCAAAAAATAATTGGGTTCGGATTGTCCACAAATATGTTGATTATTTATGGTCATATTACATGTATTGATTGCATTGATAATATCATTTCTTATTATAACCATTGAAATGTAAATGTATTGTAAAAGTTAATAACTTTTGTATTTTTTTATCAGTTTTACATATACAATATATCAAATTAATCATCTCTTGATGAGCTTCGATTTAATATTCATATTGTATGTATAAAAAAAATAAATTATATGTATCTTTACAACAATTATAAAATTATTTTTAATATTAATTAAAAAATAAAACTTTATCAATTAAAATATTTATGTGTCAAGTAGTTATATGATATAAGTTAGAAAATTACTATAATATAACATATGTAAGCGCACAAGTAATAAGTGTCATTATAAAATATATAATAATATATTTTTTTTTGTAAAAAAGTAATTAAATTCTGGAACAATTTTTCTCATTAATTATAAAAATTTAAGAATAATTTTTAGCAAGCACCAGTTACACATGGGTGTTTTACTAGTATCTGTTGTAAATTAAGAAAATGAAAAAAAGAATGTTGTGGCATACTAACATCACTCCTTATGTAT